AGAGAAGCAAAAGGGGATGGAAGAAATATGAGAAGCAGGAATAGAAGGAGAGAAAGAAAGAGAGGGGAAGAAATCACCTTGCAAGTCCTGCGGTTAAGGCAAGTCGATGGCGTCGGACTCAGTCTCAAAACTCGCGAACATGAAAGGAAGGGAGGCCGACGAGGTTTTGACTCGTTGTTGGTCGCTCGAATAAAGAGAGACAGAGGGAGCTGACGTCGGGTTAGGTCCGCTCGAGTAAGCGAACGGGGAGGAAAGGGTGCTGGAGTGCGGAATACTGGAGCGGGAGTGAGGCCTTGATTTCGCCTGGTGTCTGCAAACAAGGAGATCTGAAGAGAGGGATCTTACGAATCTTTGGAGCGGGACCGAATGAAGAGATGTCGAGAGGGAGTTTTCTATACGAAATGGGGTTATGCTGAGAGAGTTGCGAGCCTGGGAGATAATCCCACTTCCCTGCCTTCTCGATCCCGTCTCTATACATTGAAAAAAAAGCTCTATCGTGCTACCCCCATTAATCCACGATTGCATTCCTTCCAAAACAAGCAAATCACGCGACTTTGCCAACTAATAGTGGCATAATGGGATTTTTTATTAAATCAGGGTTGTAGGTTCCATTTCTTGATTTATAAATCAAATTCAAATTGCTTAGAAAGTTAATTAAGCTTTAATTAAAATTGAATTGAACCTATTAGGTCCATATTGGGTTTGACTCGGCTCGACTTGGGTTAATTCAAATTCGACTCAACTCGATCATGTCAATAAAATTAAACTCGAACAAGTCATCGACTCGAACCAAATTGAACTCGATGTGTCTAAAATGAACGGATCTAATTTAATTGAATGTGGTCAGGTCTAATTTAATCCAATTTCGAGTCGATTCAAGTTCAATTGATTTTTTATCAAGTAAATTTTAATGGAATCGAATTTGAATCAACTCAATTGGACCTAAATCGACATCGATCTGGATTAAACTAGGCTCGACGAGGTTCAACCAAAGACCCTCAAGGGCACTCATATGAAAATTGATGCAAGCACACTAGTTAGAAAAGCCAAAAAAGGAGAACGATGGGCAAAACTATAACCAAACTCGATTCAAATAGTAGCAATCATCTATTAGCACAAAAACTGACAGATAAAAACTAGAAGAGAGATCAAAAGAAATAAAATAAATAAAAAAAGTTGTTTTCCTCAGAACAACCGACAGAACGGTTTCCTCACATGCATCGAAATGTAGGTTAAGTAAAGTATGTGCTTAGGGCTAGCAAACCGATGATCCACCACAGCAAGAAGGTCCAGACGTCCAACCAAACTCCTCCAGCAAATGCTCCCAAATTAGCCAACAAACACCTCCAAAGCTCAAGAAGAAGGATACAAATGGAGTGGAACTTGCGTAGAGAAGAAAGAGGTAAGAAGCCCAGACGAAATAGAGGAGAAGAAGTGGACAAAGCTCTCAAGCTTTTCCAAGAAGAAAACCCTCAGGTTTTTAATGAGACAATGCTCAACAATTTTCAACCACCTTTCCCCTCAAAATACATCTTTAATATATAGGCAAGAGAGGGGAACTCAAAAGCCATAGCACCACCAAATAAGCCAATTAGATTTAGGCCAATGAAAGGCCAACAGCCACAATAACAATTCCCAAACGGCACAGCAAAATAGAGAAGAGAACTCGTGGGAACCCAAGAGAAAATCGCAGAATCGAGCAGCCCAGCACGGAACCAAGCAACCAGTCGCAGAATTGAACAGCCATTCACTGGAACCAAAGGGGCAAAGGCATGGAAAATCACCCAACACAACCAGCCACGAGAACCCAAGGGACAAAGGCACGAGAATTCACCCAACACAGGGAAATGAGAAGAAAAAAAGGGGAGAGGAGAAGAGACAAGTCCACTCCAAAATGAATCCAAGATTTAAGAGCATACCTTTATAGATTAATGAGCTAGGTAGTTCAATAAATTCCCCAATAAATGAACTAAACTTTAGCTCAACATTAATGAGCTAACAACTTAGAAAAAAAAAAGCTCAACTCCAATAAACCTCCACCTCCCAACATCATCATAAGCTCAAACCGAGAACCATAAGCCAACACGAGAACCAACAGCAGCCCAAAGGACCCATCAAGCTAGCAAACCAAAGGTCTACCAAAGACCAAGCACAATCTACCATGATCATTGGATAGCTAAAAAAAATATAAAAATAAAATAAAAACTAATTGCATCAAAAATCGAGATCAACAACGTTGTTGGGGGCCATTCAGGGGTGCAGAAGACATACAGAAGGCTTGCTTCAGAGCTTTACTGTAAGGGGATAGATAAAGATGAAGAGAAGATGGTGTCCAGATGTGAAATATCTCAATGGAACAAATACCTGGCTATGTCACCAGGAGGACTAATACAGTCGTTGGCTTTTCTAGGACGAGTGTGGCAGGATATATCCATATACTTCATAGATGGGCTGCCACATTCAAAAGGTTTCACGGTGATTTTTGTGGTGGTCTACAGATTGAGCAAGTATGTTCATTTCATCCCCCTCTAATACCCTTACATTGCGGTGACCGTGGCTTTAGCTTTCATCATAGAGGTGGTCAGATTGATGGAGTAACAGAGGCGATAGTATCGGATAGAGATGAGATGTTCCTCGGCTACTTTTGGCGGGAGTTGTTCAGATTACAGGGGATAGTTCTGAAGTGGAGCACCACTTATCACCCACAGACGGATGGCTACACGAAAGTAGTTAACATGAGCTTGGAGACTTACAAGAGATGGTTTGTGTCAGAGGCACCCAAGCTATGGACCAAGTAGCTATTATGGGCTGAGTACTATTACAATACATCTTTTCTTCCTTCTCAGGTGATCTCATCTAAGGTATTGTACGGAAGGGATCCTCCCCACTTGGTGCACTTTGGGAGTAGCAATTCTCTTGTTTTTTCAGTGGAGTACTTGGAGGAGAGGGATAGAGTGCTAGAGGAGTTGAAGAGACATCTATTGAGAGCTAAACATATTATGAAGAAAAAAGGTGATGGGCATAGGAACGACATCCCGTTTGAAGTGGAGGAGAGAGTGTTCTTTAAGCTCCGACCATACAGACAGAAGACAGTCACCAACAGAAGGAATGAGAAGCTTGCTCCAAGGTACGTTAGACCTTATGAAGTGTTGGAGAAGGTCGAAGCAGTAGCATATTGGCTGAAACTATCACCAACGACTACTATACATCCGATTTTCTATGTATCTAAGTTGAGAAGAGTCATTGATGATTATACAGCCAGCTCCGAGTTACTGGTGTCACTTACTGAAGATTTAGAGATTGTTCTGGAACCCTTAGAGTTGATGGGGGTTTGCTAGAAAGAAGATGGAACTAAAAAAGTGTTGATCAAGTGGAAGATCCTTCCTGACTACGATGCCACGTGGGAGCTATATGAGAGGATGAAACATCAGTTCCCTTGTTTTCACCCTGAGGACAAGGTGATTTTTTTGGTGGGTGGTATTGTTAGGCTGGTTCAACCTGAACCAACCCAGTCGGCCCAAAGTACGGCTCAGTTCTACATGAGACTGACAATTGCCGCCTCCCTTTCTTCTTGACGCCCATAATAGTGGGCCCCACTAGTCCAATTGAATTCAAAATTGAAAAAGAGGGGGCAACTAGGGCTTGGGAGGGAAATTAGATTAGGAAAGTTTATGTATTAAAGAGCATGAGATGTTTTAGGGTGAGGTTATGCTAGATTTTTATTTCAGTTAGGGTTTCGTGGTGATTTGGGCTCTAGACTATCTTTAGAGATTTGGGAGAGATGATCCTCTCTAATTGAGGATCACTTGTATCTTGTTTCTGTGCTTGTTTGGCTTTGATTTTCATATTGCAATCTATCGTTTGTGCAGATTTCTCCCAAATTTTGTGTTATTCTCGCTGTTTTTCACCAATTAGTGATAGGTTTGCTTGCAAACTCAAGTATTACCCTTAGGGTTACTTGCGAACTCAAGTATTTCCTATCAATCTCCTATAGAATTTATTTTTAG